AAGGTGATCAAGCATTTCCAGTTGTTGGCTCTAAATTGTGGAATAGTTTTCCACTAATAATGATCTGTATTTGGTATGTTCCCCCTTCATTAATAGCTTTAAAACATGTTTTTTTCTTTACCTTATTAATTATGATCCTGTTTGTGCAATACTGTTGTGATTTGATCAAGATATGCTTGTACGAATTTACTTAGATTCTCCTATTTATGTCTATGTCTTTATTTGATCATTCCTGTTTTTATATTTGATCTTTTGAGAAATACACTCATTTGCTTTCTTGCCACGAGTGAGATGAGAAGATTGATATTTCTCTTAATTGTGTGCAAATGGTGAATATGTAGCTGAAGCCAGGAGCTAGTTAGCATAGAGATTAAAAAGTAGCTTGCTTGGCTTTGTCAATTGGTAACAAAGTCCTACCAACGTGTAAAAACAGCAATTTGCCATTTTACAGACGGTTATGTGCCAGACTTTTTCTTGGCTCAGAAACAGCTACAGGACACAGCCTGGTGCATTATCCCTCTGAAAACATTTAGGTTTTATTTGTAGTGGACAGACCTGCATATTGAAAGGAACAGGTGGAACAGTGGGGTCCAACGAAAACATGTGGTCACAGAGCAGCGCCTGCATACCCAGAGCCAGACTGTCCACGTCCCTCGCCATTGGTCCGGGAGATGACGACACTAATTTCATGGGAAACAAATGACTTAACCAAGTTTTTCAGACATTAAATAAAGTAAGTAGGCAACGATGATACACCTGTAACTTACCCGATTTCTGCCCTCGATAAATGGGACTCAAACCCACTGTACTGACAAGACACAAAAAAATACATCATCTAAAACAAAGCAATTAAAATGTTGTGACTGTGCAGTGATTACCCAAATTACTGACTGAAGCGGAGACGCTCACCTTAGCCTACCCGCTGTTGGCTTTAAGCCACAAATCCCACAAAATGAAGCAGGAATGCGGATGCTTCCCCCCGCATCACTGCCGAAACCAAGCACGGAGCCTCCTCCCCCGATGAGGGCCCCCTCCCCACCGGAGGAGCCTCCGGAGGTCTTCTGGAGGTTGTGGGGGTTCACGGTCTGCCCATACATGGGGTTACCGCAGTCGTAACTAAGAAATACAAATTAATAAAAAAACAACAGATAAGCAACGACTATCACGACATACAAAAACTAATTTAATTGAGCACTCTATTACGTCACAGCTTATCTTGGCGATAGCTTGTTTGATTATTTACTTTAATAGGGCTTGGGGCAAGTTGGTTTTCACAAAGGGAATAGCTCCTTGTCTCTTCAGAACTTCCACTATCACGCTGTCCTTCTGGGCCGGCTGGTCCAGATTAACGATGACGCCGCAAGTAGAGTCATGATTCTGGTGTTAAATAAACACAGGTAATAAATAAACACAAAATATATGAAACAACTACAATATAATAAATGATAGGATACAGAAAGATATAACAAAATGGTCAACACTAGTATTGGATTTTAGTTCAAGAATTGAGGTGGTGAAAATGAACGTACTGCCAAGGTTGCTGTACCTCTTCTTATCACTACCAGTCAGAATCCCAGAATCTCAATTTACAGCATGGGACAAACAGATATCCCAGTTTATCTGGGCAGGAGCAAGGCCAAGGGTAAAATTGAAGACACTCCAAATTGACAAGGAAAACGGAGGTCTAGCAGAGAATACTCCTACGCAGCTCAATTGAGATATTGTTTATTGGTGCTCCCCGGAGTATCAAGCTGGATGGAAACACATTGAGCTAAATCTGGGTCAATATCAATCTCAGGCCAGGCGGAGAAGAATATACTGACCAAAAGGGAGAAAATTCCATTTTAGAAGAATCACTGAAAATTTGGAATGAGATTGTCAAAAAATACAAACTGGAAGGAGACAGTAAACTTCTGATTTGGCCTTCTCAGACCCCCAGGTTTAGACCTGGACAGATAGATAAAACATAAACAATTGGGTAAAGAGCAGCCATGCTGGAGACAGTGTGGGCAGATGAATGCCAATCACTCACATATTTTCTGGTCATGTATAAAAATACAAACATTCTGGGACAGAGTTATTCAGACTCTGGAGGAGATTCTAAGCTACAAGATTCCCAGAGACCCCCAGATTGATACCTGCCGACATAATTCAAAAGAAGGACATCTACCTCTTTAAAATCCTGATACTCGCAAGTAAAAAGGCCATCACGAGGAGCTGGTTGAAAAGTGACCCTCCAAGTCCAGGACAGTGGCTGGACATTGTGGAGGAAATATACTCTATGGAAAAATCGACTCTTAATCTAAGGATCAAAGCAGGGATCCATGATCAACGTTGGGGAAAATGGAAGATGGGTCGTGTTCTCAGCTGGTCTGAAAAGAATGGATCAAAGGTTGTAAAGAGTGAATGGTGACCCCCTTTTACTTTACTTTTATGTCTATTTTTGTCATTAAGGATGTTTTGTCGTGATTTTTGTTCAGTGAAACAGCAACTGAAAAAAATAAAAAATAAAAATAAAAAGTAAAAAATAAAATAAAATAAACACAGGTAAAGTAAATACATAAACCAGTCTGTCTGTCCCAAACCAGAACAACATGTCCAGAACTGCTGCCAAATTTTCACCGATGTTTACCGATACGTGACATTTAGACAGAAAATGGCTAACGTTTTAACAATTCCGAATCCCATTGCTCATTAACACACCATGTACTCTGGACAAATGAAGGTCAACCATGAGTTCAGTCAGAAAGAATATATTTTAGGCCTGTAGTTTATTTTTCACATATCCTGCCATTTACGCCTCTCTCACGAATCCTCACTCATAATTTCCTTGCTGTCGCTGTTTGGGGCTATCAGCCATGTTATCAGCTGTTCTCATCAGCTGGTCATTCTCATCTTGCTGCCGACTCTTTTTAAATATGCCTTAGTGTATTACATTTCATTTATCTTGCTGGTGCTCGGGGATGACGGCCCTCGATTAAGCGCCAAATACTTTCTATCAAGACTTGATTATCACATCATCTGTTATAACACACAATTTTCTTTTCCTTATTCACTTGTCTCTCCTGATTGAAATGTATTTATGTTGTTGTATGTAAATGTATCTGTGTTCTGGAGGCGCACATAATGCTATCATGTAAACAAATTTACCCTTCAGGGTCAATAAAAATGTATCTATCTAAAAGTGCAGGCATGGAAAAAACGACTAAATACCTTGTATGCGTAGTTTTCTTTGATGCTAACTGGAACTCCATACAAGAGGCTTTCCTTCTTGGGAGCAACAGTTTTCAGCTGATCAAAGCTCTCCAGCAAGATCCCTGTGCAGCAGTTCAGATCTTTGTTTACATCCAGAGTCTGTGGGAAAAGAAACAAAAAAACAGCAGAGACAGGTTTGTATGTGCAAGCAAGTAGATCACTATTTACTTGGTAACTATGAGACGTAAGTCCCTTTGTAGGGTTAATGATTCATTCATTTCTGTGATGAGAACCTTCAATTATAACACTGCTCGATATATCTTTGTATACATGATTGTTCTGCGATGGTATGTGAATAATGATTGTTATTTGGGTTTGAACCTTTTCCATGTAGGAGTAAAACACGTCCTCGGGGCTCAGCAAGCCTTCCTGCAGGTTATTTGTCAACTCAGACAGAGACATCGCCAAGATGAGATCAGCGTCGGTCCCTGGATGCTGGAGGACACACACGCACACACACGCACACACACACACACACAGTTACACACACAGTAACAAATGTGTGGGAAATTAATTCACACACACAATAATTATTTTTCAAAATTAGCTGAAAGTTCTGCACAGATGAAAAACACAGGGAAGCAACAAATACTATTTTGATCAAATAGAAAGAGTGACAGTAGTCAAATCTCAAAACGGTATAAAATCCTAAAGGAAACAAAAGTAAATGTGGACAAAACCGTGGAAATGTGGATTTTTTTAAGAATGTTGTTTCTTTTGTGTTATATGTCTTCGTTCCTTTTTTTTCTTCAGTTAAACACTAAATGTAAAAATGTATAAATGTGGCAGGATGAATTGAACAAGTGACGAAACTGATAACTTGTATTACCAATAATGACCAGACCAGCAAGAATAACAACAAGAATAGCAAAGCATCATCTAATAAAAGCAAAATATTATTGGTGAGCGCCACCTGCTATGTCAAATAAATAAAAAATGTCTGCGATGAGAAGATAGACAATAATAACATTCCCCAAAGCTCGCAAGCGTGTTGACAACAGATGAAGTCATTTGTCATCCACGTCAAACACTGATGAACGTATAGGTCTGAATTAAAAGGACGTTCTTAGAAGTGTGTTACAACTTTCCATCCAAACAATTGTCCCAACTCTCACCGACTTCTTGTACTGCAGCACCGCCTGCTCGGCCCGCTGCAGGCTGTCGGCTCTCCGGTTTCTGGCTCTCTGGATCTTGTCCTTCACCTCTTGGTGTCTGCAGACCTTCTGCACCAGCAGCACCAGAGCTCCAGCCCCGCACGCAGCACCCGTCAGCAGTGCCGCTGTCCAGTTGTCAAGCTTCATTTCCCGCAGAACCTGTTTCACGTTCTCCATGATTTGCCCTGCACGTTCGACAATGATCAGTCGGCTAACTGAAGCTAAAAGAAACAGGCTGGAGCTTTTAAATCACCTACTGACTGGACTTAACAGAGCGATAAAGTCAACAAGTGGGTGCGGTTTACTAGTTACACAGTGGAGGTCACGTCGACGCGCTCATTAGTCTCCTCAAATTACCGACTGGGAGGAACCCGGATTGAAGGTTGTTTAGAATCGTTCGAGATGTTGTCAGTTGCAAGGTAGAGGGCGCCAGTGCTGCTTCAAGTGAGCCATTTTATCTAAACAATACAATAAAGAAATAATAAAGAATATAATTCTAAAATGCTCAAAATTCCTCAGCTGGCAGACCAGTGTATGCAGGAGGATTCATCTCTTAATTTCTTATAAATCCCTTTTTAAAAAAAGGCAGGGGTGAGTAGGTTTACAGGCCACACTTTATTCAGTCACTCATTTCACATTTTATTTGACAGTCGGCCAAAAGTTTAAGATGCTTTTGGAGTTCATGTTGAGGTCAGGCTACAAAGTCTAACCAGACAAGACAACTGGCCCCGTTTCACCGACAGACAGCAACACTTGGATTGATTGTATGTTATCACAATATGACGACATGGTGCGCTGGCCTTGTAGACGGAGACGCCATGTGTCATTAGTCTCCTTTATCTCTTTTCTGTTTCCTGTTGAGGCATCAGTGCAACAATCACTCACAATAGGAATGAAAATGATCTGCGCTCATCTCTGGCACAGTGGTGGAGCGGGAGAGGTGGAAGATGAAGATATGGAAGGTAAAGAAAGCGATTTTGTGCCCTGGATGCCTTGAAGTTGCAACACACTTTATAAAGTCAGTTCGGTAAATATTCAACGACGGAAACGAGTTAACTGTACAGGTTTTAAAAGCTGTAAATATCAACTCAAAAATGGCACATCACAAAAGGCGTCCTGATGAGGCACGATCACGACTTGGTGACTTGTACCAACTCCTTAAAACTAATTTCGACATTTCTGTTGTGGAAACAAATAACAGCAGCGGTTCCTCTGAGAAATGATTTACTTTATTTCATTCTTGGTCTGCATGTGAAAAGCAAACCGCCGATAACGGACTGGCTACAGAGTCTAAATGAACCCCGTATTGTGTCATATCACAGAAAGCTGCTCTTGTAAAGAGACAATCATGATTTAGGAGACAACATTACTTTCTGTATTCATGTAAATCCTCATTTTTAACATTATTTTCCGTGCGTGCTTGCGGTGCCTCTTTGCCCAACAATGATGTGAATTGAATTTCTTCTAAAGCATGTAGTTTCTGTTCACGCTATATTGCATGAAATATTAAACAAAGTCAGCGGTGGATAAACAAAACAAGGACGTGGCATATTTCACACCTTCCAATGTCCAAACAGGGTGCTGAATTTCATTTATCAACATTTTAAGTTTATGTTATATGTACAATACAAATGAAACAATATGTTAACTGATGTTTTTTAATGAAAGAATCAAACAAAGAAGGAGTGAACCTTCCCAATCAGTTCAGAGGAATATTACATTTAATGTGTAATTAAATGTGTATTCAAAGCTTATTCATCTTTAAGCCCCTGGAGTTAGCAGCCCCACCTGTGGCCTCCAGGCTTTTACTTTCTGCTCTGTTTGACCAGCTGTTCCACCTCCTTCATGAAGCGCAGGCAGAGCTCATCCTGCCACGGAAGGGCGACGCACTGCACCGCCACGGGCAGACCCTCGCCTCCAGTGACAGCCTTAAACACAAACACAACAGCCAGTCAGTCAACAGTCAGCAAACCACAAGCACCACAGTCTTCTGCCTCCATCTGCTGACCAGCTGTGGAACTACTGTTATAAGAGAGACTGAAGTTCAGGGGCGGGGCCAGAAGGGTGGCATGAGGCCCTTTACTCATTATCTGTCCATGGCTGTAGGATGCTAGGAGTTACAAACAGCAGCAATCTACTGATATGGTTTGTGCGACCGTGGCTCACTGGGTAAAGAGGGTTGTCTGGTAACCGCAAGGTCAACGGTTCGACACGTGACACGTCCCAGTCGAGGGACTGGGACGTGTCACGTGTCGAAGTGTACCTGAGCAATACACTAAAACCCCAGGCTCCCCGGGCGCCCGTCATTGGCAGCCCACTGCTCCCTATATACAGGGATGGGTCAAATGCAGAGACAAATTTCCCCCTTAACGGGATCAATATAGTATAATAAATAAAAAAAAGTTGGAGGGGAACTGAGAAAATAAGGTCAAAATGTTCGTCTGTCTGAAACACAGAACAGCTTCCAGAAAACAAAACTAAAGGTTTCCCAATGATAGTATTTTTTTAGGGCTGTATTATACAAACTACCGTATTACATCATTTGGTATCAGGGATCTCTCACTGAGGCGTGTTTCTTACCTGTTTGAACAGCTCGTCCCAGTGGTCCTGATAAAAGCCCTTATAGTGCCTGAGTTCCTCCTCATCCTCTGCCGTCACCGTGGAAACAGGAACAACGCCGGCGGGAAAGGTGAGGAGATTGTAAAGCATCGAGTAAGGGAGAACACCTGGAAGGACAGAGAATAGCAACAGGTTATTCAGCGTCTCACACTGGGTACTGATCTGTACACTAATCGTGAGTATGATGCAGGCAGACTGCTCCCTAGCTCTTTGGTAATTACAGCCATCCACGATTTGCAGAAACTATCAGCCAAGACAAAACATCTCTAACCAATACTAATAAAATATAGAAAACGGATGGATAGATGAATGACACTATTATATCTCAGACTTCTCTCAAATCATTCACGTATCAGTTATCACAAACTGTTCAGGTAACCATACAGGAAAGCTTGCAGCAGTATAAGAAGTTGTAGGCTGGTCCGATCATCGGGCACAGCAGCACGTCTATGTTGAGTCTTCTCCACTCTGCTATCGTTTCCTGAATGTAGTCCTTATGAAAAACACAAGAGAATTCAATGTCCCCAACGGATGCACTCGTTCATGAGTAAGCATCGTGAGCTGACAACTAACAGTACCTCGACAGCAGCGTGCTGCTTCCACAGCTCCGGAACAGATCTAAAAATAAACAAGGCACAGAAAGAATCAGTATGTTTGTAAATTGCATGCAACGTGTGAGCAACAAAACCTGAATTACTTTCTCACCCAACTCCACAGATTGACTTGAAGGTGGCAGAGCCACGAGGAAACTGCCAAAGACAAGACATAAGTCATATGTGTAATATAAACAATAAGTGTTAAATCACACAGCAACTGTTTTATCAAATAACTGCCAAGAAATATTCAAATCAATATCGTACTCACTGAGGAAGGATTATATTTTCTTTCGTCTGTATTTATGCATGTCTGTCACAGAAGGAGGGAACTCACCACGGGCTTGAGGAGGAATGAGAGAGTTTTCTTCAACCACGTAGGAAGATAGTACGGTATAACCTGTGGTCCGAGACAGGGGTCCAAAGGGCCCCCCTCCCTAAAATAGAAACAATAAGGGATCATTGGCACACAGCAGAACAATCTGTTCAAAGTGAGTATAATATGGTCAAAACATTTCACTCAAAGTACGTGGTGCCGGAGATTAGACATTTTGTACACATTTAATAAACTAAGTGTTCCCGCGGCTTCACGAGGCCTCTCGCAATTATTACATGACCGCCTTGTCACAAGTATTTGAGATGACTGCGATCATTTTCACGAGCGTTAGATCCCACGATCAAGGGAATTTTAAAGCGCATGAAACAAACTTAAATGCCATATTTCCATTACATTTTCAACTGTTTGAGGTTTGACTGGTGCTCTTTTAATTAGTTCATCTTGTTGCACCAATTATGTATCTTGATGCGCTCATATCAGATAACAATTCTCACCACTTGTAATGCGTGTGCAAAGTTTCCTATGTTTTGCACTATAGTTCTTAAAAACACTTCATTTACGCACAATTATCAAATTAATTAGGTAATTAACAAGGACTACACGGATTAAATAACTGGCATCTGAAAGGGAACTTTAACTCACAGTTTTTGAAGAAAGCTGGTGGCTCCGTCTGCTAGGACACCCTTCATAAAAAGTTCATTTACAACGTAATCGATCTTCAGAGGGCTGTAGGGCACCAACTACAGGCCCAAAAAACAGAGGGAAAAAAGTAACTGTATTAAAAACAAAAGCTCACATATTGTATGTGGCCGTAGATCATAGAGTGCGTGTCTTACAGTGTGCCCTGCTTGCTCTAACAGAGCTTTGACCTCTCTGATGCCTCGGGCCATGCTTGGAGACGTTTGTGTGTAGCCGTCGTTTTCTAGGTAACCGATCCTGAGAGGTTTGGAGCTCTGGTATATCTGAGGACGAGACATTTTCATTC